AGGGGGGGGGGGGCGTTCGTACTTCCGCAACTGTACACATCCATGGCTGTCGACAAATTTGTGAAAAATGTGAGGGAACAACTGTACCATGAAGAATATCTTCATGAGTGTTCCCTCACATTTTTCACAACTCTCTCATCGTCAAAATAATTTCCACCAGTCCGCGAAGTTAGCTACTAACCGCTCCTTCGTTTCAGTCCCATACTCCAACCAGTAGCTAACTTCACGGACTGGCGGAACTTTTTTTTGACGATTCCCCCCCCCCTGGCCTCTCTCGGGAGAAGCGAACAGAATAGCAAATTGCAGCGCCACCATCAGAGATAACTAAGACGGAATTGTTGACGACGACTGCATATCAGTCAATATCAGTCAACAGGAGAAAGGCATGACCTGTTGAATATTGGCGTCGAGGCAGACAATGAAACGTTGATAATAAATAATTCACTTGTCATTAATGTTCAATAAGTAAAAGAGAAGCTAAAGCATTGAGAAATTCAACAAGTTTCATCAATTAGTGAGTAATTACTCCGGATTAATCAACTGCGTATGACTGTGACTTTCGTTTGTTGAGATAATTTTTTGTCAATTATATTTTTAACGTTATGATATTCTGTTTGGTTTTATCTCTCATTTTGTTTGTTATTTTGCCAACAGTTTCATTTTTTAACGAGAGTAGTCTGTCGAGATGAAACATTCGTTCCTGGGAATTTGCTTGGAACATATGGTTTCGGCAGTTTTCATTGATTTTTATTGAAGAAACTGGGGATTTTAAATTCAAATTGCTTCACCAGCGGATGACGTCGAGGGGTGATTATGAGTATCACTTGTGTGCAGGTAGTTTTATTATTTAACAATTGGTATTTTTTACTGAAATAAATTTTCATATTTCGTTTTGTGAAGATGACTGCCATCTGATGATTCGTCTAATTCTTCATTTATTGGGATTTTTTACATATTTACATTCATTTTATTTTGTTTCATGTGGCATTATGTTTTTTCCACAATTTCATTTTTGTATGTTCAAATCACGTTTTCGCAAAGAAATGCTATTTAAGGATAATCGGGCGAGCCCGGAGGGTTAGAAAAAAAGCAGCCATTTTTCTCTTTAATTTTTTCCGTATTCTTTAAATGATGGAAAATGCGTGTGC